GTTCCAATCCGCGGATAATTTTCCTGAGTTGAAAGTAGCCTTTACCTAATTGGTGATTGGTGATTACTGATCGAGTCTACCTGCAAAACATCAACTAATAAACTGTGTACTGAAGTCATTCAGTCACACTACAGTTGTAATTAAGTTCTAGAACATCGGTATCTTTTCCAATCTTGCCACGAGAAATATTTGTGTAGTATAACTATTCACTACGGTCGATTGAGCTATAAGTTTGAAATACCGGCCGTTTTAACACGATGCACAAAAGACATGCATGTATCGACATTCAATTTATTCAGGCTTTAGTCCCATTCAGACACAACCGATATTAAACAACCGAGTATTTTGCATAAGTATGCAAATTCAAAAGCGGAAACCCATAGCCTTGTAGGAATCAGAAATTTTGCTTATGCTTACGCATCGATAATGATGTTATTTTATAAAATAACATGTGTATAAAGGCTTGATTCCACGGGCGCTTTTTCTTGGCGAAATGCGAAATATTTCGCCTGTTTCTTTTGAATTGTGATCAATTAAGTAGAAATAATTTTATTCGAGTATAGTCGCAATTCAAAAGAAACAGGCGAAATATTTCGCATTTCGCCAAGAAAAAGCGCCTGTGGAATCAGGCCTTAACGTGTGCTCTGATTGGGCGAAACCTGTGTTTGGATCAGGCAATCGAAACACGGAAATTTAAAGTCAAAGTTTTTTTAATGTGAAATTTTAACGCGTAAAGTTGTTATTTTATAAAACAGTTGGCTTAATATATGCTTTCCGTGTCCATCCAAACACGGAAACCATAAAGTAATTGTACAATGAGGCCATAATTAAGTCCGCTTTCGCCTTTAGACGGGAGGTCAACTATTTGCTTCCTTCTAATATCATATGAAATGTCCATAGCATTCACATATGCCAAATTCTATAGAGTTAAGGGGCTGATTACATGGAGAGTTTTCAGCCCGGACTGAGTTTCAGCCCGGTTAAACGAGCTGAAATTGCAATATTGCATCACGATTACATGAGCAGTTTGAGCCCGGGCCGAGTTTAGTCAGAACTAATCCTATATTTATAGTCAACCCGGGCTAAAATCTCAGCCGGGGCTGAAATAATCTGACTGTCATGAAATAGAACAATAAGCCTATTACGCTTCTTTGAAGCATTCAGACGCTGATTAGTCTACTATTTGACTTGTGTGACGAGACTGTGCTTATATGTAAAGTATTTAAAGATGTAACAAACACGCAAAATAAAGCCATTTCAACTGTTGTTTCTTTAGCCCGGGCTGAAATTATTTGCGATTACATGGTGCCTGGCTGGGCTGAAATTTCAGCTCAAACCGGGCTGAAATTTCAGCCCGGAACTGGAATTTTGGTCATGTAATCGCTTGCTCTGTTTTAATAGGATTTATCCTTAGGACTTTATCCAAATCCGCTAGCGAATATGGACCGGGGAGTCCATATCCTCTAGCGAATATGGACCTATGCGGGTCTTTATTCGCTAGCGGATTTGGACTCCCCTCGCGAATTTCGACCCACACGTATTTTGTCATTGCAACGTATCGTATTTTGAATATTGTACTGAAAGCCCCTGGAAAGTGTGACACACATCTCTGACCTGGGTGTCATCGTATCCAAAGACCTCTCCTGGGCTAATCATATTGAAGACATATGCACCAAGGCCAATAAAACCCTTGGTCTAATTAAGCGGGTGTGTGCTAGAGACGTTGTGGATGCTAATACGCGGAAGCTTCTCTATTGTGCTGTTGTACGACCTAAGCTTGAGTACGCGTCGTGTGTGTGTGGTCACCTTACTCGGCTAAACAACGTAAATTAATAGAGAACGTTCAACGCAGAGCAACGAAATTCATTCTGAACTACCCTTCTCGTGATGTTACCTACAGAGACAGACTAATATCCCTAAACTTTCTCCCACTTGAACACAGGCGTGAACTTTATGACCTAACACTATTATACAAAATCAAATACAACCTTATTAATGTCACCTTTAACCAGTACCTTACACCTGAAACTAACCCCTATGCCACACGCAACTTCGACCCTAACAACTATAACATAATCGTCTCCAATAATCAAGAATTCTTCCGACAATCCTATTTCCCACGCACTGTCGTTCTCTGGAACAATCTACCACCGAACTTCAAAGCCGCCCATTCCCTACAGATCTTCAAGCACCATCTACAATCTTATTACAAAGCCAAACTGTTTACCTACATACCACCATAGTTAATCTTGTTCTATAATTCGTTGTACAGTATCCTATATGTTAAGTTCCATGTAATCTGTGATATGTTCGTGCATAATTG